TCAAATGGTTACATGAATATTAATCAACAACTCAGTTACATAAATATTGCCCGGATACACTGTACAGAGCGTATTTGAAGATATCCTTTTTGATTACATAATTAACTGGCGGGCAAAAAGGAACAAGAATTCAAACCAGATCCCACTCAAATTCCTGCATCCTGTAGTGTTCATTGTATGCTGTTGAAGTGAAAGAGACAAAGGAAAGAAACATAAAAGCAAACACATTCCTTGTAACCAGCACACTATCAACATTTTTTGTCCTTCAAATTACTCCCTAGGCTAAAACTTTTTATCTGCAGTGATTTTGGAACATCATTCCTCGGCACAGATAGTAGGGAAATAGAAGCACCAGCAGTTTATTAATTGTTCAAGCTAGTTGGGGTCTAATTTGTACAGAGGAGGCAGAATCGGATAAAATTATTGAAGAATTATGTTAGATATTCAGTAAGCATGAATTGGCTTGAAAGTCTCAAAATTAGAGATGGCTATGGGCTAAAAACACCATAATAAACCTTCAATTTTACACCAAATGACCTCTGGTTCCCTAAGATGCCATCACAAGTTCAGGCCAAGTTTTCCTTATGTCCCACAATTGCATTCATTTAATTACCATTTATAAATAGAATTTTTGTCAATGCAAGAGGAAAAATAATTAAAGACTGTGCTATAATATTTCATGCCAAGATAGATTAGATAGACAGACAGACAATAGACTCTCCCCCAAAGAAGACTAAGAAGGATGATCTGTTGGGATGGTTTCTTTCCATGTTTGTAAAAAAAAATCTTGCATAATATTACATTGGAATACAGGTATTTCATTAATCATACACTGGCCATATCTGGACAATGAAAATTCCAATTACTGCTAGATGTCAGGAAATAGAACCTTCACTGGTGCCATCTTATGAGGCCTAGATTTTTGTACCCCTGATATTAGGATCATATTACATATTATTAAACATAGATATGATCTTGCCAAAAGACATTAACAGGAACCATCTTTGCATAAACAGCCACCAACTAACATATATTTTACTTTGCATTAATTTCATTTGTAGAATGTATTGCAGTTATGCATAACCAACTATCCAATAAAGCCAGAGAGGCTTTATATCAGTACAGTACAGTATATGCTTCAAATGCAACAGTTCCCAGTTTAAGCCTACCCTGGTATTTTCAGGTAAAAATCTTTCACAGGTTTCTCAGAGATTTAGAAAATCTCAGTGGATTCACTAGCTAGATGTCTAAAGTGTGATTTGTCATTTCTATGCTTCCATCACACTTAGTTTACTAATCAACATCTTGTATGTCATGGATTAATGATCTTAAGTTATAAGAAGGCTCATTCTAGTTGAATTTGGTTCGTTTCTGATTCATTTCCAAACAGTATAATAACAATGTAGGAAGATGATGAGCTTCAGGAAAAGATTGTAGTTTGGACAATCATTGTTACAGATACTTTCATGTGGATTTCAATCCTGTATGAAGCAACAAGAGGGCAGAGTACCCTGAAAAATCCTCTCCCTCTGGGATTCTACAAAGAACACAATTCTTTAAACTGAATACCATTTTCTCAGCCAAAATATTTAATGGCAAGATCAAAACGTATTAGGCAAACTTTATGTTCTTGTTAATTACAACTTTCATCCCCAGGTTATGATCTGAGTGTTTCTCTCAATTCAGAGTAGCAGCTATATACTGTACTTCACAATTTTATATATGTGTGTGTGTGTGTGTGTGTGTGTGTGTGTATGCATGTGTATGTATATGTGTCTGTGTGTGTGTGTGTGTGTATGTTTTCTTAAGTTTTCG